TGCATGCTGTAAGTCAAATGAAATTATTTTACTAATATACCGTTGCACAAGTGGGTTATTATTTTCACAGTGAAATGGATCAGTACTAATTGGCATCCAGATTGTGTTCTCTTTTTTGATCTCGAATGAGTCACTATTAGCCTCCTCTAGTGGTCCTGTAACACATCCCCATAAGAATAGCCCATACTAGATTCAAATACAGATTTTGTCTTATTTTAAATTAAACAGATTTGTGAGATTTATTGGGTAATAAGAGAAATGGAAACAGACATTTTATAAACAGCTAATTAAGACTTTCACTGCCAGAAGGGACTTCTGCATAACAATGTGATACTTTTCACTGATATATATCACCGTCTTTGAGTTGCACAGAGTGTTTTCTTGGAGTCTGGAAATCATCATAACATACCTTAGAGGTTAAACTCTATAAATGTCCTATGAAAAAGAAAAAGAAAATGATTGATGGACTGATTATATTACCATTGGAATTTTCAAATATCACCATCATTCTTTAAATGAAAGATTTCTGGAATAATGAAGGAATTCCTCTGCTGATCATCATACACAAAGAAATTGAACAATTGAATTTCAGATCAGGCCCACTTATTACTTTTCACGAGGCATAAACTGCGTGTGACGGACGGCAGAGGAAATGGAATAATTTGTTAGAAAATTTATTCCGTGCCGCGCTAAAGATTCAGCGGCCTTCCTGTTGAATGAGTGATTTCATTTTGCTTTTTTAACCCACCGGCAAACTGCAAGTCTTGAAAGGCTCCTTCTTAAGATGAATATTAGAAAAGGACAGAGGATGTGCCGTTATCACAGGATTATAATGTCTCTTTATCATCTTTCCCTCATCCCGATCCTTTGCTAAATTTAATTTATAAGGCTGTGTACACGATATCTACAGGAATATATTACACGTAACAAATATTTTGAAGCATGCAATATAATTGGGAATTAAAAGTGATTGCCTTCCATATAACTGCTGTAAATTCCCTGAAACTTGTTGATCCTGCAAACCGAGTTATATTCAGGCTATTGTAAAATGTATGTTTATATCACTCACCCTAGGAACATCTAATGTGGGGCTGTTTTTATATTACCCATGAGTCTACTGTCTTCAATTTCAGAACAGCAACTCACTCCTCCGTCTATTTAAAAGACGTTTTGTTTATATCAGTAGTCTGTCAAAGGGTTGTCTAAACTTGGCCTTCCAGCTGTTGTTAAACTACAGGTTCAGAGATACAGGGACAGACACCTTTACTGCTGTAAAAGTGTGTGTGTGTGTATATATGTATATATATATATATATATATATATATATATATATATATATATATATATATATATATATATATATATATATATATACAGAAACACAGATATATATGAAAGTTAAACATTTATTAATGCAAATATGTTATAACCAATCACATGGCAGCAACTCAGTGCAAAAACATGTCCTAATATGGCTACGTTATCCAAAGCTAACATCTTGATGGGGAACAAATAAGATCTGATAGACTTTAACCGTGGAATGATTGCTGGTGCTAAATGTGATGGCTTTCGGAAATTTTAGAAATTTACGTTCTCCTAGGATTTTAAAGTCACTAGATTTCACAAAGAATGGTGCTAAAAACAAAACATATCCAGTGAATGGCAGTTCGTGGGGCAGACATGCCTTGCAAATAGAAAGTCATTGCCAGACTGGTTCAAGCTAACAGGATAGAAAAATTTACCGTAATAAATATATGACAACCGTGCTATGCATGTCTGAATGTGGCAAACCTTAGAGAGGGATGAGCTACACTCGATAAGCTACACTAGAAGAAGATCTCACCCGTTTCCACGCTGTCAGCTAAGAGCAGGAAACTAAGACTACACTGAATACAGAGGAAACATCAAAAGAGTGAAAAAATGGCTTTTGATCTGATGAATTTAGATATAATATACTTGAACATGCAGATGGGTGGGACAATCCTGTTTTACTGACTCATACTGGAGGAATTGCTGAGTGTTACCCTTCGATGTGCCAGGTCATACATTTAAAGCAATAATACATTACATTGCTCTCTCATAATACCCTAAGTGATGAGGGTGATGAAGATGAGATCTGGCAGATCTAGTACCACCAACATTTCCTACACTCAGACCCAGAATTGGTAAAGATGACTCTGTTAATTGAATTTAAAAGAACTTTTTAAAACAATATTGTACAATTATGTTTTTCTGGATGTTTTTTTTCCCATGTACATGTCATAGTGAGTTCTTAGAAATATGTGAGTGTTATAATAAAATATACGTAGAGCACTCCACCGATTGTAAAATATATATTATTCACAGAAGATGTGTGTTACTGAGAGAAAGACACAACACAAGTGTTGTAACAGCTTGCATTACTATAAGCTATTAGAAAACACGAGTACATAATAAGCACCACGGAATTTTTTATTTTAGTTATTGATATATGTTATGCTGCATTTGCGGGCATTTGGCTACTGGGAAAAATACGTAGTGAATATCTGCACAATCCATAGCTTTTGAGCCAGAAATATATATATACAAATAATTGTGGCTGCACATTGCACGGCAGTATTTTTGTTCTTTTTTATTTATTTTTATTATTTTGTTTGCTTACTGACATAACCAAAAATGTTTTTGATGCTTTACAGCAGTTGGCACGGGGTGGGTGGACCCATGAGTTTAATTTACAAGCATATTCTGTTTTCTGTTTAGAACTAGAAGGATTTATAAGACTTTTTTTTTTCCAGAGGAGAACAGAGCAATCTATCAAATCAGACTCGTGATGAAAATATCTCAATGTTGTTAAATCTCCTCTAAGATTGTTCTGTGCAAAGCTGCAAATTAATGGTTCCACTTGGAGTTCAGCGAGTATCTCTGCTAGTTACCTGTATATAATCTATCACCCTCTGTTCACTTACACTGCTTCATTTCACACAATGTTATGGTCTTACGGAGCCCCAATCTAAATTCTTCTCCTTCACACACTATTTATTTTTATTGGTGGTTAACCCCAGTAGAGATTAAGATTCTTAATCAAGTGCCAGTATAAGAAAAGGAAGAGGATACTAGGACTTAGTATAAATAAGAAGGGGTACCTTAGGAGGATAGTTTAAGAATGGAGATAGTCTGTTCTAATTTGGTGTGTTTAAGACGCAAGAAGATGTGTTGTTCTAGATAGACTATGGGAACTGGCTGATAAAGTTTGCAGAAATTATCAGACTGATATTTTTTGTTCAACAACCAAGGAAGCTGTTAATGCATTTTGTTCAATGAAAAAGAAAATCTAAAGGAGCTGGATGTATCATTTTCTGGAACCATTTTGCGAAACCAAAGTTTGTGAAAAGATGGAATAACAGATTTGTGATAATGTCTCCCAAATGTATCTTAACATTCAGAATTTTAAAAGAAGGATAGCGTGAGGCTTGGGATCACTGGGGGCACATTTGTGCCATATGTGGCTCTAAGCTAGTCACACATTTAGTGACCCATTTTATTTGGGATACATTTTTCTTATACTGCAAGGGATGCAGGACGCCTTAGAGGCACATGGGGAGCAAGACTGCAGTCCTAAATCAGGACAGTCCTGTGGTTGTAAAGATTAATATTGCAATTACAAGATAATTACAAGTTTCTTGCTTCAGAAACCAGGTTATTCTCAATAGGAAAGAAGAAGAATGAGCTTGAACGGCTGGATTCTATTAGCCGTTAACATGTTTTTCTTCTAAATTTTCAATTCTAGTTATTTGGGATTTGTGTATATGAAAGTCTCACACTCGTTTATTATGTGTGTGTGATTTCAAGCTTTTTATTAATTACAGAATAGGTGGAACAAACAAATTGCATCTGTAATATCATGTCTACATTTCCTAGTGGCCTTCTGGTCTTGAAACGGTCATTTGGTAACCAGCCAGTGTGACACTTCTGTAGCTGCGATTTTGTCCTACTGAATGTTCGATAATCACAGAGAAGCAATGACACATAATCATAAGTAGAGGAGTAGAGGAGCAGAATAGACATAAATTCCACTTAAAGGAACACTGTAGGCATTGTAACTGCTTCTTCTCATTAAAGTAGTTATAGTATGTGGTGTCCCATGGCACTATCCTTCCATTCAGCATTAAACCATATAATGCTAAACAAAGGTCCTCATAAGTCCATCCCCTCTGTGCTGCTTATGCTAATGAGGACGCATTAGCCTGAGCACCAATGGGCAGCTGTGATTGGCTGAGAGTGTCAGCTGAGTGCTTTGAACCTATTACAAAGTCTGTTTTTGCTATTAATTGGTATGGCTAGAAGAAAGTGACTAATCACTACCTTAGCCAAAGTTTCTCTAGGGTCCAGGCTCTGAGTGGCCAGTTACCTTTATTCAGTGTTAAACTGCTCCAAAATGGTTTTACACTTGCTGGAGGGACGGTGCCAGGGCATGCAATGCAATATAATAAATTCAATGAGATAAAATGGTTATAGTGACTATATTTTTCCAGAACTAGGGAAGACTAAAGAGTTAACATTTGCATTACTGTTATTCTGTATACCTGTTTTTGGTCAAATAAAATAGAACATTACAAGTAAAAATGATTTATGGAAAAACAAGGTCCCTATCAGCATTCTTAACTAAAGTATAAAATGTTACGAATTCAAAGTGAATTTCAAATTTTGCATATAAAATACCTGTACTGGGAAAAAAAAACCCCAGCTATGTTTTTAGACTAAAGTTTGAAATTGAAACTAGTGCTGTGTTTATTACTGTATTTCATAGAAAGATTCCAACCAATCAGTTTAACAATTGGGGCTTTACTTTTATTCATATGAAAAGAAGAATTGGGCCTACATCACTTGCATGTATTTTAGTGAAAAAAAATAAAAATTATATATATATAGTGATGTCCCGAACGGTTCGCCGAACGGTTCGCCACGAACGGTTCGCCACGGACTCATCATTGAGTAAACTTTGACCCTGTACTCACAGTCAGCAGACACATTCCAGCCAATCAGCAGCAGACCCTCCCTCCCAGACCCTCCCACCTCCTGGACAGCTCACTAAGAATGCAGCTTCACAATGAATGTAAAATGGATGCTGTCCAGGAGGTGGGAGGATCTGGGAGGGAGGGTCTGCTGCTGATTGGCTGGAATGTGTCTGCTGACTGTGAGGTACAGGGTCAAAGTTTACTCAATGATGAGTCCGTGGCGAACCATTCGTGGCGAACCGTTCGGCGAACCGTTCGGGACATCATTATATATATATATATATATATATATATATATATATATACAGGTATATAGCTTGATTATATATATATATATATATATATATATATAATGACTATTTCTAAGAGTCATTTGTGGCACAGAAGGCCCTAATTGTTAGTCATCTGTGTAATTCTTTATCCATTTATTCGAGCCCATCAGCTGCAGTTCTTGTCGGCAGAAAACTGCCATAGTTTAATAAAAAAATATAAAAAGGGAAAAAAAATCTACAGTTTCTGTTCCTCCTTCATGCGGCATATCAGGTTAAACATTAATATTGCTTAAATTCTTTTCTCACTCTGTCACTATCATCCATTACTACAAAATGCAGATTGGGTAAGACGCTCCCTCTTGGCTGAGTGTCACTGTCACCCTGGGTAGAAGGGATGGTGGATCGGGCAGGTACTTAGAATGTTGTCTGTTTGAATCTGCAGGTTTAATTTCAATGCCTGCGCTGAACATGGTCAAAGAAATCCCCTTTGCATTGTCTAAATTGTAAAGCATCGTTGGATAGAATTTTGGATAAAAGTCCTATATAAATGCAAATTGCTGTCTGAGTACAATGTATGCTAATCAATGACAAAGCTGGCAGAGATTTGACAGAGTATAATAATATATCACCACAATGTGTTTTCTTTTAATTTATTTCATGCAATTCAAAGGCTCTTCATCAAAAATCTCATACCTAGATTATTTTTGATGTAATATTGCTCCTTTTGTCTACAACAGTGGTAGTCAACCTTTGGCACTTCAGATGTTGTGGACTACATCTTCCCTGATGCTTTGTCAGTATTATCGCTGCAAGAGCATTATGATGTATTCCACAACATCCAGAGTGTTTAAAGTTGCCTACCCCTGGTCTACGATTATGATGTTATTCTTCTTAAAACTGCAAAAGAAACACTAATGACCACAGTTACAATTTTAATCAAAAAAATATTAATTTATAAGGATCAAATGTCATACACGTTTTGTGAGATTACAGGAAACTACTACCTTAAAAAACAAGCTAAGCACTAAAAACATTACATATTAATACAGTGAGTGAGCACTCCCTTCTTAGGACTTTTGATTTTCAAAGGTCTTCAGTTTCAGAATCATCATACTGTGGTGCTAATGATTCTCGTAGAGAAACATTGGATTCAACAAAACTTCTCTGTAAGAAGATTTGGAGTGGCAGAGGGTTATAGCAGCACATGTACTGTAAGTCCACAGTGTTCTTTGTGTGAGAAGGATTGAATTGAGCAAGCTTCAGAGTACAGTGTGTTTTGATACTGGATTACCAGTATTGTTTTAGTTGACTTTTTTAAAATAAAAACATAAAATAAGAGTGGACTTGAATCTAAGCATACTAAGGAAATCATTTAACATTAAAAGAAACGTGTTTATTTTTAAAATTAGAGTGTTCTTTTAAAGAAAAAATCCAAGCACCATGACCATTACAGTCTGTTCTAGTGGCTATGGTGCCAGGAGTGCTCTTGGGCCTAACTGCTTATGAATTTTAGAATAGCTTAGGAACTTAAAGAAACCAACCTATAAAGTGTGCACAGTGGTATAAACATCCATCAAACAGTGTGGTATATAATATAAGGGGAAAAGGAAATACTTCCGCTTTAGATCTTGTCATGTAAATATGACAGATTCCACAAATCTGATACACAGCGTAAGGAGTACATAACAGTCTACATAAATAACAGGGCAGAAAGAGAAAAATGCATCGCGTAATACTGTTATGTAGATGAATGTACAATTTAGTAGATAGAACCAATGGTGTACTATAGCTGTAATTAGGCTCTATATAATATGCTCCTGGGTGCCCCTTCAAGGCTTTGGATAGAAAAGGAGTCTATAACACACAAGCCAATAAATCAGTAAAAAAACTTTTTTTATTGTATAAAATTGTATAAAATCATTTTTAAAACCAATATTAAAAAGGGACAAGGAAAGCCAATAATGCATAACAAATGGTAAAATAAAGTAAATTCTTATCACCAACAATCAGCTTTCCAAAAGTGCAACACATTTCAACCAACACATTTTCTTCAGGTGCATAGACAATGCAGCCTCAATAACAATGTTAATAGGGTCTATTTCATGTGACCACCAGGGTCAATGGGTGCATCTTCACCTTCTATGTAAGTCTGAATCACGTGATCTCAGCAACATAGTGTAACATGGTTCCACTGATTTACCTATCAAACATGAAATGCTTCAGACACCATATCGGACAATAGAAAAAGTATGGATGTGCCCTTAAGCAATTGGAAATGCTAGCATAGCGTAATTACACACACCACCACCATCCCAAATTAAAAATTAATTCATCAACGGACCTGTGATAGAGGACCAAGCCCACCGCCCAGCCATGCTCCCCATATATAACTACCTCTTTCCATTAAGCTAGAAGGAGGTTGACATAATTGGGTGTAAACGTCATCCCCATTGCAATAACGGAAAGCTGGAAAAAGAAATTCACAATTGAACCACAGTTCTTGCTGTGGATCTAATGTTTGGACTATGGAAGTATATAGTTGGTTAGAATATATAAAATCAGTTGCTATTATTATATATATGCTATAAGTACATAGGCCTAAAAAGTGATTTTGGTCCCAAAGTAGGCAATAAATATTGTGGATTATGTCCCACCCAATTAGGGGATTTGTAATCTAGCCGTAATGCTTAGAAAATTAAATTAAAGAATGGAAGGGAATTTTCCATGTCACTCTCTAGTTTCACTTTAAATCCAATATGTTTCAGGCTACAACCCATCACAACACTGTCTTATAAGGGATTGTATAGAAGGTCTAAGTGTATTTTAACAAAGTGAATTTGTTTGGATCATTTTATTGCTTTTTCTCTGACCTGCGAATAAAGCCAGGCATGTCTGTTCCCACGCACATCTAACACCATCCATACTATCTATCAATGTAATGATAAAACTAGACTTGTGGGTAATTGAAATCATATTAATTGCAATTTCTTTTGATTGCCATTCTGGCTTTCTATTGTTGTAATATAGAATTCTGAATAGTCATTATTTCAAAGGCTATTCAGCCATATAATAGACCTTCTTGGTTGGCCAATAAAATTTTCACTCGTGTTTAACACTTGCTATAACATTCCCCAGGTAATTACTTTGGTGCGTGTAGCTTGACCCGCAAAATGCACAATGGATAACGTGTGATATAGTCTCGTCCTTTCCTGTCCTTCAATTTTCTTGAAGGTACAGTAGCTATTCCAGACTTTTGTTTATACAGAACAATTTGGTTGTCACAAATATAATTATGATGCTTCATGAACTCACAATGACAGCAACAGATGTGCTCATGAATTTTATTTTTATTTTTTTCGTGGGATACATAGAAAACAGTTTTAATCATATCGCTGCCATGTTGGGTTTAAAAAAATAAAAAAAGATATGTCGTGATTTAGAAGCCTTCTGTGTTTTTGTAATATTGAATATGTTCTCAAGAAATCTAATCTATTCTCACAGAATCTTCAAATTATTCCCAAACAATCACATGGTAATTAGTGATGTCCCGAACGGTTCGCCGAACGGTTCGCCGAACGGTTCGCCGCGGACTCCAGTCAGCAGACACATTCCAGCCAATCAGCAGCAGAACCTCCCTCCCAGACCTTCCCACCTCCTGGACAGCTCACTAAGAATGCAGCTTCAAAATGGATGCTGTCCAGGAGGTGGAAGGGTCTGGAAGGGAGGGTCTTCTGCTGATTGGCTGGAATGTGTCTGCTGACTGGAGTCCTCGGCGAACCGTTCGTGGCGAACCGTTCGGCGAACCGTTCGGGACATCACTAATGGTAATGCCTCATTCTTACAAGAGACAAAACGGAAGATCTAACTATTGTTTTCAAATTTATAAGTTCTTTCTATTCCACAATCAAACATTATGTAGTGTATGTGTGTGTTCTTCCTACATCTAACATAGTGTCTCCTTCCTGATATAGGTTGCATTTCACTGTTTTCCACACCGAAGAAGTGCATGATGTCCTGAAGATATGGGATGGTTCAATAGAGAGTGGAATACTAATGAAAGAACTGAGTGGCTCTACTTTACCTCCTGATATTCACAGCACTTTCAACTCTGTCACACTTCAGTTCAACACAGACTTTTTCACTAGTAAACAAGGGTTCGCTATACATTTTTCAGGTAAAGTTGCATAATCAGGCTCTTGTAAAACAGATTAATAACGTTTTGAAAGTTTAAAAATTGCAAAATGTGCACGATTGCCAGGCATACCCCACAATTGTGTATACATAAATTTAACTATTGTTAATGAAATTATTTTTTTGCAAGCAAATTTCATTTGCAATGGCTGTCCAGACAATAAAGCCAGCGCTATCCTTATAGACCAGAAGGGGGCATTCAGACAGGTCTGAATGCAGATCTTCTTGGCTGTCCACCGAACCACCATGGAAATACCTGAACCAGCAAGGAATCAAAATTAGAGCCATTTCCAGATTAGTGAAACATCACCATGATAAGTATGTACATAATAAGGTTACAATCAAACAGGCTAAGTGGTTAGCAACATTGCTACCCTTATGAAAAGTTAATTGTTGAGAATTCGGGATGGATACCTTCTGGATAGACACATCTAACAAGTCTGCAGATCATTCTCTTGAAGTGATAGTATCAGCTTAGTATCAAAAGGCTTGTGTTATATTTCAGTAACCTGTGTGGTTATGAAAGAATTTTGTACTATAGCAATTTTGAAAACCTTTCCTTGTATATATGAGAGGCCACATTTGCAAAGCCTAAATCTGATAATTACACTGAGAGTTGAACTCAATTTCCTTTCCACTAAGTTTCCAATTTCAAACTGTAAGATTATTTTAATTACGGTATGCATTATCCATATAACACATAATCAGGTT